CCGAACAATACCATGTTTTATCCTTACAATAGTAGAGAAAAGCTACCAGGCCACACGATAAACAGGTAGCTTTTCTCTACTATTGTAAGGATAAAACATGGTATTGTTCGGGCCAATCCAAGGTTATCTGGTATCCTCTCTCATATGACCCGAACAATAGTATGTTTTATCCTTACAATAAAAAAAATACTAATGGGGTATCCGGCTAGACTGATCATCCCCATATGTATAAAATATGAATACATACTTCAGCTGCTGTTGTATTCAAACATTTCTGCATAAGCCATGCGAGTTTTCCTATAACATATTGCATAACACCATAATAATAAAGAACATTTATCACGGATCCAAGAAAAATAATTATTGAAGTAATCTTCAATAGAAAAAAAAAGAAATGAAAAATTAAACAATCGACAATTTTTCATTTTGAATAAGTCTACTTTAAAAACATAAAAATGTTGTTCAAAAGTTTCTCCGAAAACAAATTTAGCTCCAGCATCTGCATTACTAAATAATAATAATAATAATAATTCCATTGAAAGGATTCATTTACAAAAGTAAAAAATTGTTTTTACTTAATAAATTTTGTTACTTCTTGTCCAAGAAATTCAAAAAGTTCAAAACCAGCGTCAACTCGAATAACAAAAACAGCCAATAGAAATTGTAGAATAAATGAATATAATACGGTTTTCCATCGAATCTAATTTTACCATGATACCAAAATCAAAAATATACTTCATATTCTGTTCCAATTAAAATATTTGTCCTACCTACTTGATGAGGATATTTTGAACCTATTAAAATAAAAAATCAAATTTATAAGTATCTTTTATTTTTCTAATTTAAAAATGTCAATACCGAGTGTTCCAAGTATAATTAATGCAAAAATGCCAATGAGTGAAACTAAATTTCTTGGTTGGGCTACTGTTAATCCAACATAAAGAGCAACAGCAAGAAAAACTAAGATATGCGCAACCCTATGTATCAAAGAAAAGAAAATTAAAAAAGCCAATATATATAAATAAAAAAAAACATATTATGTACCATGTGAACCTTTTCAATAGCTTACTAATTCGAATCCATACCGGCCTATTTCTATTTGCTCTTGAGATAAATTGAATTAGACGTCCTAGTGAGCTTCGAAGAATTATTTCCCATGCAGCAATAAAAACAGCACAAGCAACAAGAATAAACATAGCAAAACCTAAAGAAAAATTTTATATCAATCATAATTCAAAATTCATAAATCAATACCTTGATTTCCATAAAATACATTTCCACGTATAGGAAAAGCAGGTGTGCCATATTTTTCACTCATAGCAAAGCCAAAAAAAATTATAAAACCAACAAGAAGCAATATTTTTACTACAATAAGTGCCAATTTCTATTGAAAAAATTGCAGAAAGATAAATATTATTCTCATTTTCAAAAAGCGATAGGTCTTACTACTTTTTGAATAACTTTTGATAAGAACGACATAAAGACATGGGCTTTTCATCATTCAAGAGAGAAGAAGCTGAGCCATATAGATATGTCCAAGTCTGATTAATCAATTAAGTAAGTTGTCTGTGGAGATTTTAAAAAAAGATATTCAAAATTCTGTTTACATTGAATGTTGACCAATCGATAAGAAAATTCCTCTCTTTCAATCTACACAGGTCTCAATTTTCTAGCATGTTCTGTTCCAAAGTTGTAAGTATTTTTTCGAGATCTCCAATTTTAGCAAATCAACCTGAGAAGATTTCATACGAGCTCTAAACAAGAGTAATTCAGAGCGACTTGAAACCAATGGCCACTATAGAATTTTTATAATGCAGAGGAGGGCAGAGTGATCATAATAATAATAATAAAAAGCGTTTTGAGGCTGATTAGAAGTAGTACCAAAAATACTGAAACAGTAGTCTCTGATCGCTTTGAAACTGGAAACAAACGTCAATATTGGACTCAGCATAATAAATTACCTTTCTCTAGAAGTCTCTTAGAGTTTTCCAAAGTCAATTTGCTGAAATTGAGGATCTCGAGAAAACCCTTGTAACTTTAGAATGAAATATCCTAAAAACTTGAAGTTTGTGTAGATCGAAAGAGAAGAATTTTTCCTATTGATTCTCTATATTTCGAGTCAAAATCAGATGGAAAATAGATTTAGAATATGTTTTTCAAAATCTCTACAAAGAATTCATATGCTTGGCTGATTGTTGACCAATCAGAATTCGATATACGTAGATATTCCTCCTAGGATTTTGTCCCTTAAGCAGTGAAAATTTTAGATCTCTATGTTGTTCCTATAAAAAGAAGAATTCAAAAACCAGTCATACCCATTCCTTTTTGAAAATATAATTAGAAAAACAAAAGTTTTTCTTACTTTTTCCTTTTTGATTATGTGAACTAAACATTCATGCATACTCAATACAAATAAACCGAGTTTATGTCCATCTCCTGTTAGTCTTTCAAACCCTTCATTGTTCTTATCTTCAATATCATCGTCCTCATCTGCTTCTCCGTTTTTTATTTCTAATTTTGTTGTTACAAGTGTTCCATTTCCAAGACTTGTTATTGATGGTCGTTGATCCGAAAATACAGGATTGTCATAAGAAACTGATTTCTAAATAGAATAATTTTCTTTTTAATTATATCTTCTTTTCCCTAGTTACTTGATCGGTTTTATTAGATTCAGTCGGTGATATCACACGTTGTGAATCATGTTCTGTTAATTCATAATTATTTGTATCAACAGTAACCTTAAAAATTTTATTTTTCTTTGTATATCCTTGTTAATTTAAAATAACTTACTTTTGTCATTTCAATTTTGTTTTTATTTGATTGTTTTTATGTATATCCAATTGTTACTGATAAAAAAAATCAACTATACTTAACAAAAAAAAAAGAAACTTCAAGCAAATATGACATACAAAAGGTATATTTGTCGTGAGATCAATAATAGTTTCAACAGAGCCAAAAACTTCGAAATCTTATGCTTTCTCTCTCGTTTTTCTTTTCTTCTTTTTTTATGCTTTCATCAATGTAATCCCACCTTTTGATATCTTTCTCATAAATATAATTCGACTTTTATTTTTTTCTCTTTCTTGTATCACATGATAAGATACTGCGAAGAAAAATAAAAGAGAATTTGCACATACTCGTATTCTATTTTTTATTAAATATAAATTGATATTTAATGTAATAGAAAATGAATACTAAAAAATAAAAGATTTGAAAGTTTTGTTAAGATATATATATGTATTCATTTCATCTTTTCTCAATGTTCATCTTGCTCTACTTCCTCGATATTCACTAGTATTGGGCATACTATTCTCCTTCACGCCTCGCTAACTTTTGTATTCCTTTCGTTCATTGTCCTCATACGAGTGACCGATGTATATCACTATGGTCAGTGGATTTTTTTTCATTATGAAAGTTAGCTTATCTCTTATTCGAATAAAGAGACATCATCTCTTCTTAATATTTGAGACAAAGGAAACTATACCATCAAAAACCCTTTACAATTATTTTTATCAATTGATTACATTTGTGAATTTCAATTCGAAGTTTTTTGTATAGTATTTGTTCGTTTTATTTGAGTACAAGTCTTATCTTTATCTTTCCTTTGCCTTTTTCTATAAGTTTATGATTACAAATGAAACGTTTTACGTTGTAATTATAATTTGACTATTCATCTTTGAATAGAATGATTTTTATGCTCAAATAGTAAGTGTTGCTAAACTTTATCGTATTGACAATTATCTTCAATTGAGTTAAGGGACATATTCGATCTGTGCAATATCCAATGTGTCTAATATTATAATGGTGTTTTTTTTGTGCTCAAAATAAAAGCAAAGACAGATTCATTGATTATTTTTTACTGTCATTTGATTATAACATGAGTTGACATTCCTAGATCTATTCATTGTAAATTTTATTTTTCTTGATCGATTAGTCAATATTCTTTTCAAAGTTAAAGTTCAAACCAGGTTATTTTTTTCATGTAAAAGGTTCCTCTCTAATCTTGAAAAAATAGGCGATTTTATCTCATGCTTATACGTACGCAATACTAGATTCAACCGCTTATCTTCCAGATATGTACTAGTGAAGACTATTAAAATATGCTGATGATGTTTGCTAGTTATGCTTAACTATTCTTTATGTACATAGACCGTTTCGAAGTACATGTGAGGGTTTGTTGATTTCTTCGGACTCAGCCAGACCTCTAATGAGATTCATTGTTATCTTATGTATTCATAACATTTAATCTGATAATGTTCTTTTAGTTATGTGTTATGGATATTTAGTGTAATACGCTGATAACATCAGTTTGTTATACGTAAGTGTTCTTCTTATGTAAAGTAATTCAAAATAGACGTGAAAACTGCATAGTGACATATGATTTCAAACGCCTCGAAAATGGAGAATGATAAGATTATAACAAAAAAAAACTAAATAAACATAATTCAAACATAAACTGCTCGTCTGTTTGTCCTTCTTATAATCAAATTTTCTCTAGAGTCGTCTCCACATGTCTATAATAAATTAGGAACAACTCCATATGCTATATTTATTTTATTAATTAGGATTCGCACGCAAAACTCCAGCTGGATAACAAGTGGCAGTCTTTCAGGTGAGCGTGTTGGGCTTAATATTTCATCGTTTTTAACTTAATTAATGAAAGATAATTTTATTAAAATAATGTATGAGTTGCACATCATTATTAAAAAAGAATAAGTGCACTTATTAACAGTTGAATAAGTCAAATTGAAGCTGGCCTTAAAAATTTTCTGTAAACAGCTTTATTAAAAACAGACAACATCAATAATAGATCAAATATTATTGATTTTAATTGATCAATATGAAGAACACAAAGTATAGAAAATGAGCTGCCGTAGTTTGATCGAAAACGTAAATATCAAAGAGACTGAATGTCAAACACAAATGACATTTTTAGTTGTATGCTTTTTGAAGATATGTGATGAATTAGTAAGAATACTGTCAAAATACTCATTTAAAACAGTAAATAGTTTATTAGACTATTTTCAAGATCAATGATTCGTGAAAGCTGCTATTTTTCAATAGTGTATACACTATCTTATTATAAAAATTAATAATAATATTGAGGATAGACAATTCTTTCTTGTTATTTTTATATTCTTCTGTTTTATTTCGCATTTTAGAGTCATTTTAATTATCCAAATTTTTTGTGCGTTGATAAAGTTTCCATGTACGCTTTTAATTTAGGTTAGACTCAAGCATAACAATAAAGTCATTAAAAATAATTGCACCTCAAGATCATATAGGTCGTCTTAATGAACGATATACTGATGATCTTATAGATACGCAATTTCTAATTGCGAAACAAAAAAAAATGACCTTTTGATGAATCATATCTACTGACATACATATCACCTCTGTTAGGATATTAGCATCATACCACGAATGAAGTGAAGCTTTTCGAATTGTACTCGAGGTCGATATTTTTACATTTCTATATTTGCATCTTAATCCTTTTTGATATATCTTCGTCAATACTCTTATCTTCAACATTTTTGACATTTTTATTTTCTGTATTTTTATTCTCAATTAAACTACAATCAAATATACGAAAAATGTTTTTCTAAAGTTAAAAGAGTATTTTTTTTATTGGTCTTAATCAACAAATCACAGTTTAATAGATAAATAAATTATTATATATTTTTTTCCTATTAAGTATTTTATATGTAATCTGAAGTTTTATGATCTTGAAGATATATTTGTTGTAATTATTCTTTTATTTATTTTCTTAAAAGTTTCAAATTAAAATAGGATACTAACAAAAGTAAATAGTTGTGTTAATGTGCAACAGAGGCTACATACAAATTAAAAGAATTTTGTAAGAAAAAATAAGTCTTGTTTTATCAATCAGCATTCAATCAGCATAAATCTTACTCGAAAGTGTAAAACTCATGTCTTATTTAATTTCAATATAATAATACAAAACACTCAAAATGTAAAAGCTCTAAAAGACGATAGTTCTTCTCCAATGGTCATCTATTGTCAGTAAACGCTCTGTCTATTTCTACATTTCGAACAGAAATATTTTTGACTGGTGCTTTTTTTTTGTATTTGTCTTGTTGCTATTTGCATGATATTTATGTTCTTCTTTTTTATTTCATTTTCATTATTTATTATTATTAGTGTAACGATTAACTTAATAGCAAGATAAGTGTGTTGTATATATTCGTTATATCTTTGACAGATTTTAACAATCTATTATGTTCCTTGATCAACTCAGAAAGACTACAATTAGTTATTTACGGAAGCTCGAACACAATCAGTTCATGCTTTTGTGCTCATCATATGGCAGTTGTGGCAAATCAAAACATCAACAATGATACCTGAAATATAATTGTTTGTTTGTACAAAGATCAGGAACTGCATTATTTAGAATATTGAGACATGCATTTCAACTATTTAAACTTCGACTCACTATTATTCTATTCGAAAATATACTTGTGTTCCACAAAAGATATCATTTATGTTCAAGTTTTGATATTTTTCTAATCAGCTCAATAAAGAACTATACGTTCCTATGAATTTTTTTCAAAACATTTTTAGACCTATGACTATTCCATTAAAAGATACATCAATATTCGTTGTAATCAATAATTAACAAATTATTTCAATAAGTCAAATATTTACATAATGACAATGACAAGTTGAAACAACTGAAAAGAAAAAAGAAAAGTTTTAGCGAAAAGGAAAAACATGAAATCACAAAGAAGTTTCAAACTGCATAAAATATATTAGCTAAAAAGATAATCTCAAAAGCAACTACCTATGACACCATCATATCAATGTTAATGACATGTATCGATAACACCTTTACTTACGAATTAATGTTAACGATTTCAGGGAGGACGCGCCTGAGCAATAAACTTTTTTATATTTCATCCGATATCAACCAAAATTTCAAAGAATATCAGTCTTCGCTAGAATATATTATGGGTAAAATATCTCTGTCGAATCTCGGAGATACTCACGAATTATGGTCAATGCATTGGTCAAAAGTACGCTTTACGTGGTTAGGGTTTTCAGAATGACGATACGAGCTAATATGTCGGAATAGTTTTTGAAATGTAGCATACACTTAGTGCTAGGTTGTAATAGAGTTCGATTTATTAAGTTTCCTTCGTTTAGATTTTAGAAAAAAATTTTTGTGAAAAATCGTCAAATGAGTAGCCAAAAAAACATCGTTAATTAAAATCAAAGACTTCAGTTTTTATTTCAACAAAAGAGAAATTCCAAACTCGGGCTATACTACGAATCTAGCCCTAACTGTCTGCTGTGAAATTAAAAAAAATTACCACTTTCATACTGAGTCGTTTATAAGAAAACTTTGTCTGCGTACAAAATATACTGGAAAAAAAGAAAAATAATATTTTTGTCTCTATTCGAAGTAAGTCTGCACTATTCGTTAAACTTTATTAGATGGTGTCTATGCGGATATATTATGCTGCTCTCGGAAGTATATATCATGCTAAAGTTGTGATCATGATTACGTATATGTAGATGTATAGTGTTCGTGGGGTATAAGAACGAGAGCGACATTTCTATTCTACTCACAACCACACCCTATCTACAATGATCATTTCAATTAAAATTGTCCGAGGTGCATTACGATTAGAAATTTGTAGAACCGAGTTGTTTCGTCTCAGCTTCGGTCTCGAGAAAATTCTTCGAGAATTTGTTTGCATTACATCTACAATAATGCTTCAAAACTCGGTTTTTGGTTTTATTTCGTCGACGATCAGCACTTGTTTGGGTCATCTCAG